GGGATACCAGTGCTGTTCCAGCTACGAGTGCAGAGCACAGCACTGTGTGGGCTGCTGCAGGGAAAGGTGACTCCGTTCCGGACAGACCCAACACAGGTACTCAGAGAGCTGGCTGATGTCATCATCATGAAACCTCACCCAATTATTTTTCAATAGTCTTGGGAATCTGGAGAGGTCTCAGTTGAACAGAAACTGGCAAATGTTGTTCCACTTTTCAGGAAGGGCAAGAAAGAAGACCCTGGTGATTACAGGCCTGTTGGTCTCTCTTCAGTGCCTGGTAAAATTATGGAGAAAATTATTCTGGGTTATTGGAAAGCACCTGAAAGACAATGCAGTCATCAGTCAAAGTCAACGTGTCCGTGAGGGGAAAGTCCTGTTTAATTAAATCAATTTCCTTTTATGACAAGGTTATCCAACTGGTTGACCAAGGGAAGCCAGCTGATATAAACTTTTTGGATCTCAGCAAAGCTTTCGATACTGTTTCTCACAGTACCCTTCAGGACAGAATGTCCTTCATAGAGCTAGACAAGTACTTAATGTGGTGGGCGAATAACTGGCTGATGGGTCAGGCTCAAAGGTTTTAGTAAATGGGGTTACATCAGGCTAGCAGCCAGCGTGGTGCTGCAGGGCTCCATTTTAGGCCCAGTTCTCTTTAATGTTTTCATAAATGACAGAATCCTAGAATGGTTGAGGTTGGAAGAGACCTCTGAAGATCATCTAGTCCAACTTCCCTGCCAAGCAGGATCACCTAGAGCACATTGCACAGGATGGCATTAAGGTGAGTTTTGAATATCTCCAGAGAAGGAGACTCTAAAGCCTCTCTGGGCAACCTGTCTCAGTGCTCTGTCACCCTCACTGTAAAGAAATGCCCTGTCATATTCAGATGGAACTTTCTGTGCTTCAGTTTGTGCCCGTTGCCTCTCATCCTGTTGCTGTGCACAACTGAAAAGAGACCAGCTCCATCCCCTTGACACCCTCCCTTCAGATGTTTCTATACATCGATGAGATCAAATGACTTGGATGCAGGACTTGAAGGTATGCTAAGTAAGTTTGTGGATGACACTAAATGGAGAGGAGCTGTTGACTGCCTCAGGCAATAGAGAGGCCTTGCAGAGAGATCTTGACAAATTAGAGGTCTGGGCAGTCACCAACAATACAAAGTTTAACAGGAGTGAGAGCCAGATTCTGCACATGGAACATGGCAACCCTGGCTGTATGTACAGACTGAGGGATGAGAGGCTGGAGAGCAGCCCCACACCAAGGGATCTGGGGGTTCTGGTTGATGACAAGTTGAATCTGAGTCAGCAGTGTACCCTGGCAGCCAGGACGGCCAACTTGGAGCACATCAAGCACAGCACGGCCAGCCGGTTGAGCGAAGGGATTGTCCTGCTCTGCTCAGTGCTGGTGCAGACTCACCTCAAGTACTGCAGGCAGTTTTGGGCACCACAGTATAAGAAGGACATAAAAGTATTAAAGAGCATCCAAAGGAGGGCTACAAAGATGGCGAAGGGTCTGGAGGCCAAGACAGGGCCAGTTCTCATCAATGTTTTTATCAGTGACCTTGACACGAGTTGAGTGCACACTAAGTAAATTTGTGGATGTTACTAAATCAGGAGGAGCCATCGATTCCCTTGAGGTCAGAGACATGTTACAGATAGATTTTTATAGATTAGAGTGCTGGAAAATCACCAACCATATGAAATTTAACAAGAACAAATTTTGGATTCTAGAGTTGGGATAGTGTAATCCTGGATGTACATATAGGCTACAGGACAAGTGGCTGGAGTGCAGCCCTTCCGGGTAGGACATGGAGCGTTTGTTTGATGGTAAACTCAGTGTCAGCAAAGAGCTAACCATATTGCTGGACTGCACCAAGCACAGCACAGCTGACCAGTTAAAAGAAGTGATTGTCCCACTATACTTAGCATCATTGCAGCCTCACCTCAAGTACTGCCTGCAGTTTTGGGCTCCACTATATAAGAAGGATATAAAAATAATGAGCGTGTCCAAAGGAGGGCAATAAAGATGGTGAAAGGTCCAGAAGTAAGACATATAAGGGGTGGCTGAGGGCCCTTGGTTTGCTCAGCCCCGAGCAGAGCAGGCTGAGGGGAGGCCTCATGGCGGCCTGCAGCTCCCTCACGAGGGGAGCGGAGGGGCAGGCGCTGAGCTCTGCTCTCTGGGGACAGCGACAGGACCCGAGGGAACGGCATGGAGCTGGGACAGGGGAGGGTCAGGCTGGGGGTTAGGGAAAGGGTCTGCACCCAGAGGATGCTCGGGCACTGGGACAGGCTGCCCAGGGCAGTGAACATGGCACTGAGTCTGACAGAGTTCAAGAAGCATTTGGACAATGCTCTCAGACAAAATAGTTTGGGTTTTGGGTGCTCCTGCATGGAGCCTGAAGTTGAACACAGTGATCCTAGTGAGTCCATTCCAAATCAGGATATTCTGTGATTCTAGGAAGTAAAAATAAATAAACCTGTGAGTCCAGAAATGTGTTGAGTAGTAAGCTACTACTAATCACCTGATCCAGGGCAATTGCTTCTGTTGAGAAGATGCCTTTACCGTTAATGCAGCTGTCACCACTGAGGTGCTGTTATCACAGCAATCCCTTTGAAATTGTTTCAGGGGTAAGTACATGTAGTTTGAAATTTTTATTTGAAGGTCAACTTGTATAACTCTTTGACTTTCATCAGCAAATGCTGAGATATAGGAAATGAAAACTAGAACAGTAGCTTCTGACTGAGTCTCATATGGCACAACTCTGGATGGTGCATATCTTGGAAATATATTCAAGCCTCTTGTTAGTGTTAAAACTTCAGCATACACCATGGAGATAAAATGAAAAGTACTGGTGATTTTCACAGTTCTACTTCTGTTTTCTGCAACTGAAATGTTCTTGTCATCAAAGGAATACCAATTGTACTATATAGACAGCTAGTGCATATGCAGAATATTGTATTTCTGTTAAAAAATAAAATAAAATTAAATACAGAACCATTCACGAAATCATAATATAAAGCTTCAGAAAAGGGAGCCTAGTAGATGTAAGGGCAGTATATTACTAATCCAAGATGTTGTAAACTTTTTATAGTCTTAAAAAAATGCCATGCCAAAACCAACTTTGTTAGTACAAAATCAGGTCTGCTCTGTCCTTTTGAATGTCAAGCTGAATAAACTTAGGCTTACAAAAAAAATCTGAAGACTTACAGAGGGAAAACAAACTGCCATGTAATCATAACTATTACTCCTCCATTCCTCTGAAATGACCTTCATGTAGTTCATCTGTATTCAGCATATTAAATATATTAATACCTAATTTACAGAGAGTGTCTGGAAGAGTTTGGCAGAACTCACATTTTACAAGCTGCACCTAGTAAGTCATAAAAATGTTAACGAATGTTTATAACAGAAGGAAAACATTGGAACAAGAACTTCTAGGGATACATTCTGTCACTTTCAAAATGTTTTTGGTTAAGTGGTGTCAGTGCTAAGGTGTAGCATTAATCTTGCCACAAAGACTCTAGACCATTAGGTACCAGATGAACTATTTAGGGTTGTCCTGATGAATGAGCAAATTGTTAAATGATACAGTGTAACACTGAGTAAAGAGATGAGTCAACACAGAAGAAATTGTCCTGTTTTTGTACATCACACTACAACATTTGACTGTAGGGCATGTGCAAACAGCTCCTCGTCAATAAAGTCTAAAAACAACACGAATATATGTGTTATAGTTGTACTGTGACTAACAAAAGCAGGTTATGGATGCCCGAGCATATTAAATCCATGCATATATTGAAGATATATTTATCATTTTCTTGTTTCTGGAACTTGGAATGTTATTGAGCTATTTTGTTGGACTATGATTTACTGTTGAGAGCTACTGTTGTTGTAGCTAGGGAAAGGTAAGAATAGCATGGAACTTGTAAACATGTCTTGTTCCTCCTATTGATTTTTTATAGTGAAATCATTGTTGTGTATTTAAATGGTTGAAGCCTGTGTTACTAAAGTGATTCATAAAACTCTGTCTGAAAATCATGGCAATTTTACTATACAGTGTTGGCAATAACAAGTAATTACTACATTATCTTTTTTTTTTCCTATCTATTGAGCTTTCACTGTCTACAATGCATTGTCACATCATTTCTAACATATGTTCCATTCCCTTTACACAATTACCCGTTTTTTTTTTAATATATTTTGTTTTGCTACAAGTAGTTCCTTATTTCGACTCAACATTTTTATTGAATGCTAAATACATTACAAACCATACCTCTTTGGATCCCCCATTGATACTCTCCCCTCCTGTTCCTACACCGTTCAACTTCCTGCCTTTGCTGGGAGTAGATACCCTCCTCCAGTCTGTAGTTTCTGATTTTCAGAGCTTTAAACCTGGGTTCATTTCAATGCTGTGTACCCAAGATTCTGCTTCAGAAACAGGTGGGCTGAGAAAGTGATTCCTGATGTTTGGGAACTCATGGGTTTTTGTTTGTTTGGTTGGTTGGTTGTTTTGTTCCAGATTTCTGGTACATGCTTAGAGGTACCTCAAATGGAAAACAAACAAACAAGCAAACAAAACAAACAAAAAAAACAGAAAGAATATCCTCCATCTAACATGGAAATCCCTCTGTAATGGGTTTGTGCTTCTCTGCGATACCACGCAGCGGCTGGATTCCTGGCTGAAGCACACACATGAAATTAAACAACTGGCAAACCAGATGCACAAGCATCTGATAGACCATTAGGGGGATTAAAATATACCCATGTGCTGCAGCCCTAGCTACAAGGAGTGCCCCAACAACACAAAGTGTGCCTCCATACCACGAGAATCAAGCCGCCACCACCTTTATTTACAACAAAAGCCCTCCCCTCATCCCCCCGCTCCCTTCCCCTTCCGCCCCGCCTCGGCGGCCATTACAGCCGCCCCCTCTCCTCTCCCCGCCGCGCCCCACGGCGCATGCGCGGCCCCCTCCGGGCGCGCGGCGGCGGGGGGCGGAGCTCCCCTCAGGGACGCTGCAACTCGCCGAGGGCGGCCGCGGCGCCATTTTGAATCGGTTGCGGGTGGAAGGCGGCGGCGGAGCGGGGAGGCTTCCGTGTCCCCCGGGAATCAGCCGGCCAGGAGGGAGCGAGGCCCCGGAGATGGCCGCGAATCGCAACCTGAAGCAAGTGAGGATCGAGAACTAGCTCGCCGGCGGCGCCGCTGGGCATGGTGGGGGGCGGCGGCGGCGGCGGCCTGAAGGGCTTGCGAGGCCTGGAAGCGGAGAGCGAGGCGGCGGCGGCGGCCGCCATGGCGCTGGTGCCGGGGAAGGAGGCTGGGGACGAGGAGCAGGAGGGCGGCTTCACCATCGACATCAAGAGCTTCCTCAAGCCGGGCGAGAAGAGCTACACGCAGCGCTGCCGGCTCTTCGTGGGCAACCTGCCGACCGACATCACCGAGGAGGATTTCAAGCGGCTCTTCGAGCGCTACGGGGAGCCCAGCGAGGTCTTCATCAACCGGGACCGCGGCTTCGGCTTCATCCGCCTGGTGAGGCTTCGCGTGAGCCCCCGCGGGTCGCTTCGTGACCCGGCCTCTGCAGCTGGGAGCCCCCAGTCCCCCGCTCCCCGCCCTCCCCTCGCCGCTAGGAGAAGGCAGCAGCTGCCCCCCTCTCTCTTTTTTCCTTTGCTGCTCTTGCTGCTTCCTCTGATTCCTCCTCCTGTTCCCTTTTTACCTCCATCCATCCAAGCCAGAGGCCTGCATTGTGAGCGGCCTCCCCTGCCCCTTGCATTGGGGTTTCCAGGGCACCACTGGGAACCCCCGCTGTTTTTGGGGCTGGTCTCAGGGTTTTACCACCAGTTTGCATAGCTCTGCTACGGGTGCTCCCGCAGCCTGTAACTCTTCCATGACAGGAAGATATGGTTGTGAAATTTACATTTTTCAGTGTAATATTTGTAAGGATTTTCTTTATTTAATTGGGAGCACTTAGCATACTTCAGGACTGGAAATGTTATCTCTTTGTGTCACACCAAATTTCAGTCTGTGCAGCTCACTACGAGTATAGGTTTGGCCTATGAAAACACAGTTAATTTTAAAGACTGGATTGGTTTGTTTTGAAATAATACTCTTGCACATCTTGAATGCTACAAATACACCATTTCAATATTGCAAAGAATTGGGAGTGTCGTTTGTCTGAATTGTGTCCAGATAAGACTAGATTTTAGGGTTCATACAATTCAATCAGTATTATCTTAAGCATGCAGAAAAAGCATCCTAAAAGCTTGTGATCCTGCATTTAAAATTTTCAATTTAACGTGTAGGATTAGTTTTAATGACTCCGTGCTTAGAAGGCTGTTTCATCTAGTTCTGAGAAAAGAACTATAAAGTTTGTAAACACTTAAAGTGTTTTGGGTTAACCTGGTTAATGATTTTTCTGTATATTTTACTGGTTAGGATTTTGTATCTTTTTGGTTGTTCTAGATAAGTGCAAAGATAAGTAGCAGTCTGCTATATGCTTTTGACCACGACAAAATCTCCCAACCTGAAATATTTTTCTGGAGGCAGTGTGATAGGTTTGCATATATTACCCAATTTTGTATGTAAGGTAAATTAAATATAGTATTTATCTGAATGTCCCTTTTCTGTTATATTTAGGGAATATACTGTTTTCTAACATTTCGTAGTAGGTTGAACTGGAAAATTGCCTGTGATCTAAAGAGTTCTTTAAATACAAGGCTTTTCGGGTATAATATTTGGTAAGAATTTATGAAATGAGAAAAAAAGCAGCTATTGAGACAGATTTTTGTTGTGGATATGGGTGCAGAAAGGCCATAAATGCGAGAGGAGTGAATATATGAGCAAAGAAGGTAATTTTGTTTCTTGATGAACTTTGAATCTATTTAGAGTTCATCCAACAAGAGTAATGAGCATGTGTGATATTTTCATTCAAATAATATTTTCATTTATTAAAAAAAAAGAAAATAAAACATTTTAGATTCTTTAGTATAATTTCTGAAAATATTGTTAACTAATATATGGATATAAAGACTTCAGTAGGTATATATGAAAAACTGTGTGAAGTTTTCAATTCTACTGAAAGCCTTTACCGAAGCAGCACGTAAGTCCTCTAATGTGCAACAAAAATTTACATCCAAGTCATGTTTTAGATTAAACCACAGGGAATGAAAAATGCATGTTCTTTCATTCCGTGGCTGGGAAATTTTGTGTAAAAAAGAATGCTGAATGACCCTAATGCAAATGTGCTCAAATTAAGGGAAGAGAAATTGCTACTTTTCTGGGGGAAAAATAACCAATGCAAAAGCAATGTCTGTTGTCTTTGCAAATAAAATATATAAAATATTTTATATCTTGAAAAAGGAATCTAGGACACTGGCTGAAATAGCAAAGGCAGAACTTGATGGTACAATTTTGAAGAGCAGACCACTTCGAATTCGATTTGCTACACATGGAGCTGCCCTAACAGTCAAGAATCTTTCACCTGTGGTTTCTAATGAGCTGCTGGAACAAGCTTTCTCTCAATTTGGGCCAGTGGAAAGAGCTGTTGTTGTAGTAGATGATCGTGGCAGAGCTACAGGAAAAGGTTTCGTAGAATTTGCAGCAAAACCTCCAGCACGGAAAGCTCTAGAAAGATGCAGTGATGGGGCATTCTTGCTAACAACGTAAGTTCACAGGTGTTTGTTTGAATTTGTGTTGAGTATGTATTTCTAATGTGAAAGAAAAAAAAAAACCTTAGGCATTCCCTACTTCTTATTATCAAATGATGAAAGTAATGAGGTGAGAAATTAAAGTGATTTACACAAATACTTGAAAATACACTTTTTTTTTGTTTTAGTGTGGAGAACCACGTTTTTCTGCTGTTTACGCATCTTTTAACTACCATATTGGAGTCCAATAGCAATGTTTTGTTTCCCACCCTTGTTTAGTAGGTCTTTCCTAATGATTCCACTGATTGAACTCTTTCTGATCCCAGTAACAATATGACAAAATATTCTTTTGTTTCTTGGCAAATGAATACACTACATTGCTGATATTTCTGTAAACTCAGGAAAATGGTTTTGTGTTTATTTCCATCAACAACTTTTATTTGTGGCTTGTTAAGCCATAAGTAATTATTTATTTTTTTTAAATAAATTTTGAACAAGTTGATGGCAGTTTCTGGAAATCTTTGAAGAGCAAGCAAGCTTGCATATTGCATCACTTCTCTCTAACATCTCTTATTTCTGTACTTGATGAAGAGAGTTGTTAACGGCTGTACTTTCACACGTTAACTTGTGACATTTTCAAATGTTTTCTTAGAGACAGTGTGAAGTGATAGATTAACATTCCCCCTTATCATTTGGGAAAGTAAGGCTGTGATTCCACAGCATTGAAGCTTGCTGCCGTCAAATCAGGGAATGTGTGGTTGCTTCTCTTCCTGCCCTGACTGTGCTGTTGATCTCTTAACTGCTTGAGAACTGTTTTTGATGCTTATATAAGCCATTTGTGCTTGCTGAAAAAAACATAAAATATTCATTTGTTTTTGTTAAGTTCATTTTTGACTGTTTCAGAAAGTGAAGAGATTGTGGATGGGGGAAAAAAAGTTTGGAACTCCTCTTTCTGGTGATAATCTCATAAATCTTGTCACTTAAATGAATTCTGATAATCCGACCCAAGTAGATGCGTAGTAAATTCAATCTCAGGAAGTCTTTGTTATCAGTGGGCACCAGCAATTGATTCCTTTTTGTTCTTGTCTGGATTTTCTTGGCACTAGTGGTTGAGTGGAAGCCTGGTGAGCCAAACCAGGCAACTAATCTAGTTCAGTGAATGCTATAGAGTTACATGAGTACTATTCTGGGTGTGAGAGATGTGGCAGGGAAAAAGAAGCTAGGATACAAGGGAGGGTAGTCTTGATTTAGTAGCTGCTGGATAGTTTTGTTTGATGGACGTGATCATCTAACCATGGCCCGAGCGAGTAAAAAGTACTTGATCTTTGTCTTGCTTAAGTGGCTGACGTGTCCCTTAATGCACAGTTGCAATCATAATTAGTATGTCTGCTGCCATGCTATTTTTTTAGTGTTTTGCTTCAGAATCAGGAATTTCACATTTTAGGTGAGATTCCTTTGCCTGAATAGATATATATTTCTTTCAAATCATGGGCCAAATGCATCAAAATGAGGCATTTGAAATGTGAATTTAGAGATTTAAAATTGTTCTTTTAAATCATCAGCTTGTTACCCCCACAAATCATTTGCATTTAAATGCTAGAACAGCCAGCAATTGTCATGCAGATAATTTTAGGAAAAATAGTTGCTAAGTTGTGCTCTGTGATTAGACTTTTTTTTTTTAATTGCCTCAATACCCAAAGGTTTCTTTTCCAGCTGTCCATGTTGTTAAAACACATTTTTTTTTTTCCCTCCCTGAAAAGATCCATACATGAAAGTGTGGAACAAAATGTTACGAGCTGGCATTCTGAAAATAGCAGCTTTGTAGCTCTTTTGTTACAATTTTAAGGTCTTGTTTGGGTGTTTCCAAAACTGATACAGAGTTTTTTATACAGTTCAGGATTTTATTCTGCTATCCTTGCATTAGCTAACACTTGCCTCTGATCACTTATGCTGATACTGAGAATTCAAAGAATGAGCTTTAAATAATTTATGCAGAAGTCATTTTCTAATTATCATTGGAAAAATAATGCCAAATTACCAAGCCTTTTTAATTGCAGAGTAACCTTCAAAAGTAAAATTTGTAAATATGAATAGGGGGAGTGCTGTGATTTGGGTTTGGTCATTTCCAAATGTAATCATGGTCACCACATTGCCTTTCTGATGAAAATGTTTTTGAGATTTTAAAAAATCTTTAAATATTCCTATACTTCACAATTAACATAACTACATAATGTAAGTTGTATTTTATAGGTAGAATAGCTAGTTTTGTGTGTAGAACCACTAATCACTTTCAAAGATAAAATTCCAACAAATCCTGATTTTAAAAGTTATTATGTAAGGATTTGTAAAACTTAGGACTTCAAGGTAACATGCTATTTTTCTAGAGAGCATCTTCAAAATACCAAAATAAGATCTTAAACAGTTTATTTTATGGTTTTAATTATTGAACTGAAATTCTCTTCCAGAACACCTCGACCTGTTGTTGTAGAACCAATGGAGCAATTTGATGATGAAGATGGGCTTCCAGAGAAGCTAATGCAAAAAACACAACAATATCACAAGTAAGTTGTGTTTAACCTTATTTTAAAAATTTATTTAAGTTACTTTGATAACTTAGTAAATATACACTATTTTTTATTTCAAGTTTGTGTAATTGGAAGCAATATTTTGTATGCTTATTTTATACAGCCAAGAGCAAAGGCAGACTTAGGTCAATTAACTTCCCACAAAAAGGTGCCATGTCATTTTGTATTCAGAATTAGAATAGTTCAGTTGGAAGGGTGTTGCAAGGATCATCACGTTCAACCACCTGACCTGTTCAGGGCTAACCAAAAGTTAAAGCAGATCTTTGAGGGCGTTGTCCAAATGCCTCTTGAACACTGACAGACACGTGGCATTAACCATCTCTCTATGAAGCCTGTTCCAGTGTCTCACCACCCTCATGGTGCAGAGCCTTTTCCTAATGCCCAGTTTGAACCTCTCGTGACACAGCCTCGTGCTGTTCCTGTGCGTCCTGCCATCGATTCCCAGGGAGCAGAGACCGTCACCTCCCTCTGCACTTCCCTGCTCAGGGAGCTCCATGGAGCCATGAGGCCACGTCTTGTCTCCTCTTCTCCAGACTGGACAACCCAAGTGTCCTCAGCCTCCCTTCACAGGACATGCCTTCCTGCCCTTTTACCAGCTTTGTTGCCCTCCTCTGTATGCTTTCAAGTACCTTAATGTCCTTTTAATGTTGTGGGGCCACACCCATGCTCAATATAGCAGGAGAATCACCTCTCTTGACCATTTCAGGAAGTTGCAGAGAGCAATGAGGTCTCCCCTGAGCCTCCTCTTCCCCAGACCAAACACCCCCAGCTCCCTCAGCCGCTCCTCACAGGCCTTGTGCTCCAGGCCCTTCACCAGCTCCGTAGCCCTGCTCTGGACACGCTCCAGCACCTCCATGTCCTTCTTGTGCTGAGGGGCCCAAAGCTGAACACGACACTCGAGGTGCAGCCTCACCAGAGCTGAGTACAGGGGGACAATCACCTCCCTGCTCCTCCTGGCTACGCTGTTCCTGATGCAAGCCAGGATCCCTCTACAAGGTCCTACGTTCCCTAGAGTCAGCAGCACCTCCCTGTTTAGTATCAGCAGCACACTTGCTGAGGATGCATTCCACTCCTGCATCCAGATCACTGATAACAGTGTTGAACAGAACTGGCCCTAGAACTGAGCCCTGGGGAACACCACTAGTGACACCAGCCAGGTACAGCCCCATTGACTACAACCCTTTGAGCTCTACTGTTCAGGCAGTTTGTCACCTGGTGTAGCGTGCACCTGTTGGACTCTGCAATCTTTGTAGGTCTCTTCCAGCTGAACTGTTCTTTGACACAAAACATTGTAACATTTAGAATTGATTAGGACCTTTCTAAGTTCTCCTAATTATAGTAAAATTCAGACTTGAATCCTTAGTTTAACTTTTTGTGTTTTTATTAAAGTCGATGGTTTTCTGGTCTCCACTGAAACCAACTGGAGATTATTGATAGTCAGTGTACATTCTTCTGTGGACTTTCTCCAGAGAAGCTGTGGATGCCTCGTCCCTGGAAGTGTTTAAGGCCAGGTTGGATGGAGCCCTGGGCAACCTGGGTGGCATCCCTGCCCATGGCAGAGGGGTTGGAACTGGGTGGTCTTTAAGGTCCCTTCCAAACCACTCTGATTCTGTGACTTGGGGTGTGATCTGATTCTGCAGATTTGTACACCCACAGACATTATGTCCTCTGATTAGCCCTTTAACTGTTTGTAAAGTCAGTGGGATGTAAATCTTGGCAGCTTCTATGCTTCAGATAAAATTTTGAGCATAAAAGAAAGTCTTGAGGCCAAGGTGAAAGAAGAGTTCCATCATCTCATTAAAAAATAATTGTTGATTTTGAGATTTGATTACCATTTAGAAATCATGTTGCTTGAAACTGAAACCCTTACTCTGTTAAGCAGGTAAGCCTGCAGAATAACACTTAAAAATATATCAGTGTTACAGTGTCCGCTGCTAGAATGTAAGATAAAATGTAGGCTCCTTTATTAAAGATTCTTGCTGATATTCTGATCTGTTCAGTAAGCCTTTGTATGCACTTAATTGCTTGTATGAATTGACCACTTTAGAAAGCTGAACAGTTAATCTAGTGTCACAGCTTAATATTTTGTACCATTATAAATACGATTTTTTACCTTCAAATTTGATAAATTGAACAGATTTTTATTTAGACAGTTTCTCTGCTCAGGTTAGTTATATTACCTTAACAGCTGAATTAAACATTGTCAAACTGGTTTACATTATAATAATCTGATTTAAAGTCAGGTCTACACTTGAAGTGATTCTTCAGAAATTCTTCGGCTGTTATAGCTGTTGATGGAAATGTGTCCTTCTGTACATTTTAACTGCAAAATTTTTATTAGGGAAAGAGAACAGCCTCCGCGTTTTGCTCAACCTGGAACATTTGAGTTTGAGTATGCTTCACGTTGGAAGGCTCTTGATGAGATGGAAAAGCAACAGCGTGAACAGGTTGACAGGAACATTAGAGAAGCCAAAGAGAAACTAGAGGCAGAAATGGAAGCAGCTAGACATGAGCATCAGCTAATGCTGATGAGGCAAGGTAAAAACCAGATAATCTACTAGTATTATTTTTTTTTCTCAGATTTTCTTTCTGTAGCATATTGAGCTGTATGTTAAATGCAGAGATTTTTGCTAGATGCTATTTAATGAAATGCATTGAACTGAGAAAAAGGATGCTTCTTGACAACTGGCAGTGACGGATTAAGAAACTGAAAAGGGAGATTGCCTAGGTCTGTGTCTTCACTTAAGTTTGTCAAATGTAAGTAGTTTGTGTAAAGAGAATGAATGGTAGCTTCACGTTCATCAGTAAAATTATTATTCTGGTTTTGGTGTTGCTTGTAGTACAAGGGAGGACTAAGCACTGTTTTTGGGCCCTGTGCAGGAAGAAATTCAAATGATCCTTCCTATTTATTTGGACTGTCCCGTGCACCTCTGATACAATTTCAAATGTTCCAATAGCTAATTTTATTTTTTTCTTTTGAAACCCAACTGAGTAGTCTTATGTATGATCCTATAGGTAACCATTGCAACCATTCTTACAGTCATTCTTGAAATCCTGAAATCGCGTGTCCCTCTTCTGTAATTATGTGGGCTGGCTTTCTCCCTGGTCTTGCAGGAAAGAAAGCCCTTAGCAATTGCTTATGAGCCCTACCTTTGAGAATGGAGTTGGGTGGAGATGGCAGTAGGAGGGCAAGTACCTGGTACTTTCTGCTTATTAGCCTTCTCTCCAAAACACTTCCAAAATGTTGTAGACATGCAATTGCTACTTTTTGCATTGCTTTCCAGCTGAGGCCTATTGAACACCATTTGATTTTAGTTCACATTACAAGACTTCTGAGTCCTGATTTTTGATTTTGCAAAGACTTTAGATTTTGAAATCAGTTTCTCAAGGTTCTTTGCACAAATGCAACGCTGAAGTATTTTAACTTGTTAAAAAATCTTAAATGAAGGGAGATCATGGCTGACTAAAAAGATTCTTATCCTTAGCCTTAAATCATGACTGTTCAATAACTAACTTGAAAGTCTGAATAGGCTTTGTCATTTTAAAGGTATTTGAAGTTCTTGAGATTTTAAGTAGTAACGTTTCAAAATTTAAACCCACGTAACTCATGCAAACTTTCTGTTGCAATTATTTGGTGTTAAGAGTAAAGTTCTAAGTAATGTTTTTTTGTTGATAGGGCAGCATCCCTTTGTGAGAATTGTTCATCTTATTTTTTTTTCTGCTGACTTGAATGGCATTAAAAATACCTGCATGAGGTGGATAAGAATATTCACTAGATTGGTGGCATTAAAGCCACCTACATTCTTCATTTGCTTGGTTACATTGAATATAAATTCACAGTCTCTTAAAATCAATTTTAAAACATTATCTTAACTGGAAGAGAGTTTAAAGAAGCATGTTGTGTTTTCTAATTTAGTATTCCACTATTCAAGTTCTGCTGCAAATGAAAATTGTCATTAGGAAAAAGTTTACCTAGCCTGTTTTTTCTAAACCGGTGTGCTGGTGTTTAATAAGAATGCATGTTTTTATGAGAACTTGTACTGAAATACAGAGCATAATAAAATCAAAACCAGTTTTAAAATGCCAAATAGTTGTCATAGCACCTGAAATTGTCATATTTTAGATAAGGAATATTAATGTGATATAACGATGCACGTAATACACGGTGCCCCCCCATCCTTTTTTAATCAAGCTTGCATTAATTAGATACTTTTTTTTTAATTTTGTGTGTGACTACTTGATACTGGTGAAGATGATTCAGTGCTGAAATTCAGTTTAGATATGTTTTTCATTGGCTTCACTAATTGTTAGTTGGCAGTGCTAATGATCCAGTTAGAGAGTTGTTACTCATAACTTATTTTCAGCATTCATCTACCTGTTGCCTGTAATTGAGGGCAAGATTAGGGATATCTTGCTTAAATTATCATGGCTGAATCATGTTCTGAACTGAGATAAGACAGTGGCTTGTTATTAATACAGATCTTAATGGTAAAAATCAGGAGAAAATGGTTTGGTGTGTTCCAAGGATAATAGGGTTCCTTTTAGAGACGATGAAGGAAAAATTGTTTCATTGTTTGAACAGATATTAAGATCCACTTTTTTATATGAAAAAGAAAAAGAATTACTCCTCCTGCTAAAGCGCCACTAGAATAGAAATAGTTTTGGTGCTAATATTCCAGTGAGGAAACATGCTTTTTCTTACTGTGGGAAGAGTTTTTTTCCATCCTCCTTGATTAGCAGTGCTTCTGCTTCATACTAAACAACTTGGAATTTTGCTAAGATACTTAGATTTCTGCTTATTGACATGCAGGTATATGACTTGCCAAGTTCTAGTGGTTAGTAAACATTAGTTCCATTTCTTTTTCTCTTACCAGCTTCAGGGTATATGAAAATCAGCTAGTTTTTCCTGTATTTTTACATTAGCTGCTTCTGAAACTTGCTGGTCTGAACTGTCTCTGGGAGTAGGTGGTTCAGACCATACCAAGAATATTTATTAGCAATGAGCTAATTTTAAGAAAGGCACTTTAAGAAAGATACAGTGAGACTTGAGGTATCAAAACCTAGAATTAATATTTTTGTATTGATTTCAAAGTGTGTTAAAAACAGTTATTCTGAAATATGAGATGTAAAGCTGCAGTATAGTAGTTGTCAGGAGCGAGAAGGATGAGTTTACTCCAGTCCATATACTTCTGTAGATGAAGGGAAAAGTTTTATAAAAATTGCTTTATGAAAGCTATGAGGACTTGCACTAGAATGTTCTGGCTTAAATACTTGGGTTTTCATGGTGTGGTATTAACGCTGGAGAGGGAGACTTCATTCTTTTGATATGTATAATTTTTCACTTTTAAGTGTCATGTTTTGACAGACTGAGTCAGAAGTGGTTTGTAAAGCAGAGTACGTGTTTCCATGTGTAAGTAAATTGGCATGATGTTTCGGATCTACATATTGCTGGTATGCTTCAGGCTTTTGTAAATATTACAATGGTGGTTAAGTGGTTTATCAAAATAATGGAAATCTTGACTAAATGTAACAAGAAACTTCATTCTTTGTTGGCTATATGGAAATCAGACATTTGCTTTCAATTCTTAGAATCTGAAAAAATAGCTAAAACAACCTAATCTGTTTGGATTTGTTATTCCTGCTTGCAGGATTAATTCCTCAGGTGAAAGTACACTTTCACCTTCAGTCCTATGTTCTGCAGGAAGTTGAATATTGAAGACTTTTTTTTTTTTTTTTTAGCACAAGAAGGTACTGAAGCTAATAGTCATGCTTTCTGGCTCTTCTATCACAGCTATCTGCTTTAGTGCAGGTTTATTTCTGTTCAGGGAAAGGGCCCGTCCCCAACATATGTCAGCTCAGAATTACCAGCATTGCAGATCTTCTAATATGAGCGGCTCTGTGCACAGCCTGAACATCCAGATCTGGATTTTCATTTGGCTAGTAAAGCTTTGTGCCAAGATTCTGCTGTTGACAAATGGTACTGAATCCAATTGTTCTGCTGACCTTTAAAGTACAAACAGTTTTGGGGACGGCAATAATCATAATTATGCCTTGAAAAAAATTTAGAGACTGGGAAAACTAGGACTATTCAACTTAAAGTAAAGGGAATTAAATAATAAATTCATAGCAATTAGTGATAGAAGGCAAAAAAAAAATCTTGTTTCAGTGTATTAATGTAAAAAACAAAAAAAGGAATGCTACATGAATAGAAAAGAAAGTAAAGACAACTTACAAGGAAATAATCTTTTTATATGCCCACCATGGGGTGGGCAATATTGAATGCAGGACAGATGGATTCTTGATCTCAGTTAAATCCTGAAACAATCAAAAAAAAATAACTAAAAAAAAAATTCAGTTGTATTCTGAAACAATCTGGAGGTTATTTTAAAAAGTTTGTGGCACTCCTTGAGTACAATAATTGGACAAGTCTGCTGTGGCATTTGCTGTTGAAAAGACACAGTCCTCAGGCTTTGTGATATGAGTGAATCTTCATTCTCTGATTTTTCAGAAGAAATGGGAGAAAAGCAAGCCTGCAAAATTTGCTTGAGAGAAAGGACTTCTATTGTCAATAAGGATATTATCTAGTAAAAATCTGGTAGTCATTGTTAAAAGAAAACAAATACATAATATTTTGGTAAAGTATACTGGTGAGAAAGATTAAGTTGTAATATATGCTGCTGCAAGTTTGAAAATGATTTGTATAGCTAATAAAGGTGCTTTAGTTAATGTAGTGAAGGAAAACAGAAATATGTGGAGTATTTGATCTGGAGCATAAAAAACATGTAATAGGTGGTAGGGTGGAATTTTCGTCATGGTGTCCGTAAATATTGTGGCCAATGTATGAAGATAGAAAAAGCAACTGCTTTTATTGTAATGAGTGGTGGAACTAATAGTCATTGAAGAATGTGTGAATTTCCAGGGAGAAATCAGTATTACCTTCAGCTGGGACCTGCTTTTTAGACCATATAGCTATTCTCTCTGGTGGCATTAAAGATCAGGCATTTGTAAGTCAGTATAAGCATGGTCAAGTGATTAATCTCTATGGAGGCTCAGATCCCATGCACCTGACATACACTTCACTATTTTTGATGTGCCATGCAGTTGTTTGCAATGGATAGTGGAGAGTATGTACTGTGTTTGTTTTCTTGCTAGTGTGACTTCAGTGGTGCACAGCATTGAGAGAAGATTGATGCCTTGCCAAAGATGTAAAAGCAGGACATCTTCTAAGTGATTCATTTTTCCTACTGTTTTCTTAGTTTGAGGGCTTCAAATTTCTGTTTCTGCTTTGGAAGCATTCCCAGTCCTCTACCTTGACATGATTCTGTGAGACTTAAGTCTGGTGTGGTTTTTCATATGCTAAACTTAATTTTATGGGAAGGAACTAGTTAAATGCACCGAGAAACTCCTTTTGTTTTAAAATTGAATACAACAAGGACAGTCTGATGGCAGTAGCGTTTTTTAAGTTTCCATATGGTAGATTAAGAGCTTTCATCTTGATTACATTTTTAATCCTGTTAGATCTCATGCGACGCCAAGAAGAATTGAGGCGTTTGGAAGAACTTCGGAATCAAGAACTTCAAAAACGCAAGCAGATACAATTGAGGTATTCTGTCTTGTACTGTGTGAAGTTGTGGCAGTAATTTAAAAGACACAGCTGATGTCAGCCTGCATGAATTTAGATACTGTAGCATGTAGAACTTCTAATATGAAATACAAACATTTCTGCTATTTAAAAGTGTATCAAAAGCATGATGTGGTATGTTTCTGTTGATGTTCTACCACAGAAAAGTGGTGATTTATGCTAATATGAAAGAATGATTGCAATTATTTCTAGTACTTTTCATTTCAGCTCTGCTAGTTCTGTTGTAAATATCAGAGCCTAACTAGCTTAGAAATGTCTTCACATAAATGTTTCATATCATGATTTGCTTTGAACATCTGATGGAAGAAGCATAGCTGTGTAGTAGAACACACTTGTAAGATCTAGGGGTGTTCATATGTATGTGGAACAGTAGCATTGCGAATTTTATAACATTTTTAAATTTATAAAATTTAAGAAAATATATTAATTGAACCTGTGTATTTGGATTTCTACTTCAGCACTTCTTATATTAAATATCAGAAATATAGATGAGAGAAAAGAACAAAACGCTTTACAGAGTTAAAAAAAAAAAAAAATACGGCTTTCAGCAGTACTGAAATAATTTAATTTGTAGTGACTTGTTAGGGGGTTGGGAAGGAAGGGAAGTGTTTTAACCTGCTTACCAGTTAGAACAGGTAAGCTGTAGCTGGAAGAACGGTTATAGAATATACTGGTATTGTGAATACCTGTAAACCAGTTAAACAAAAATATTTCAATAATAAGCCTATCAGGCGGACTAGATTAGTTCCTTACACTGAATAAAAAAGTAAATAATGACTAGTTTTGCTTGTGCTCGATGTTAGCTCCTGAGACTGAGTGAACAGGTCATGAGTCTGAGTTGACATAGTTTTTGAAAAATATTCTAGGCATGAGGAAGAACATCGACGACGTGAAGAAGAGATGCTACGGCAGAGGGAACAGGAGGAACTGAGACGACAGCAGGAGGGAGGATTTAAGCCAAATTTCATGGATAATGTAAGTAAATTCTACCTGACTAAAGTCAAATTTGAAAATACATTGTACTTTTTTATATTCAGTCTATCTCATCAAGCTGCCTTCTTACTTACAGTCTTTCCTTCACTATTCCATCATTCTCATGAATGGAATGGTACAAATTTAGCAATGTAGTTACTTTCTTGTATGATGACACCACGCTTTTCCTACAATCTGGTGATGCAACATTTCAGTTACGTGAAGGTATTCAGATAAACATTTGCCTTTTTTTATTCAGGAAACTATTTTTTCTTGTAAAATTATTGAATTTAAGTGGGAGTCATGGGAATACCTAATGCTTCCATGAGGAGGTGCCCTATTTGGACTGAAGGTTTTAAATTTTAAAGCAGTTCAAACTATTAGTTTGTTTGAATTGCTTATTTTGTTTTATGCTGAATTTATTAAGTATAATACACTTCAGAAACAAATTGGGCGATGTTAACTTCATAAGGAGCCTGAAATCCCTCTCCCCTTTGACCCTACTGTAAGACTGAAGATGAAAATATGAAGATCTTTACCAAAGGAGACCAAAAGATCGTTTAAGAATGTTCTTCGCTATAATTTCTACATTACTTATATTAATAATTTAGGTCTGTTCTGCCTTTGAAGATTCATCCTGAAGGACTAGCAAAATAGGAATATCAAAGTAGTCAGCTTCTAAATATTCAGGATGATCTATTTTGGGCAAGGGTATGATTTCTATCAACCAAAACAATTAAATAAGCACAACCTGTATTAGGAATGCTTTAATTTCATGTAGGAGGGATACCTTTTACTGCTAAAGCTACTTTTAGAGAGGAAGCAACAAATAAGTGATCCACATAATACTTGTTTATACTATTATAATTATAGTCACTGGGAGAATTCTGCTCCTCTTTACAGGTACAACTTGATGCATAAAACAAAGTGCTGGTTTCTCAGCTACTTCCTGATTTTGGGCTTTGTGGAAGAACTAATTGTTCTACTTTTTGTACAGTAACGCTTCCTGTAGGACTGAGAAGACTATATTAAATATGTTCTGAGGCATTCTAAGAGAATTAGAAAAGATTTCCTGTTTTCTGCAGGACTTCTTTTCTTAGTGTTTTTAGTAAAGATGGTGGGGAAACAAAAGTGTTCCTTTGTGATATTACTAACTTACCAGTTGATTTTACTGATTGTGTTTGAGAAACTTGCAGTAGAAAATAGTCAATCTTCTATTTCCATATGTGCTCACATTGTAAAAAAGAAAAACACTTTCAAGCATGCAATTCCTTTGGGGGTGACGAAGATCAAGAATTTAATACTTATGTCCCTTAGTGCGTTCCAACTTATTAGTAAACTGTCATATTTTGTGAAATAGCGTGTAATGATCATCTGATGTAATTTACAAGTGATACTCTGTGATCCCAACTTCTGCAGTGCCAAATATGAGATTTCATGGCATGTTAATATTCTAATATAACATTTTCTGGGGTAGTACAACTTCCTGACCATATAAACTGTGTGTCAAAATCGTCCTGTGCCAGAGCCAGGAGATCCATGTTGCTCACTGCAGAGAGCTGCAGGAAGAGGAAGCTGGGGAGCCATCCCACAGGGATGAGATGGGATTAGCTCCCTTGGATTCTTTTGTTGTCAGGAGGTAGTGGCCTAAACCCTGCAGTTTAAGGCACTGGGAGAAGCAGGTAACATTGGCCACAGCAACTGCTCTGCTGGTTTGCTTCTTGCAGCTCTCTGAGATAAGGTTACATGGTTTCTGTGCTTGAATTGCTTGCCACAGGTTGGCCATCCTTCAGCTGGTGCATTTTTAAATTCCTAAGTCTGCATGAATAGAAACTGTTGAAGTTTTTGTGCCTAGATGGGGCAAAAATGTAGCATAAGTAGGGAAGAGGAATGGTTCAGATGGAAAGCACTTCAACCACTATGCATAATTTTTGTGACTTTTACCTGATGAAATTTTTGAGCAGAGAAGTAAAGGTGGAAGAAAGCTTTGGAAGAGTGTGTGCAACTCTCCGACAGAGTTGATTATTGAAATCCTTCATCTGGAATTAATGCACTGCAAGAACATATAGATGCAGCTGTGCAGTGAAAAGCCTACTAGAAGTGGTACAAGCTGTATACAAGAATATATAGTTAGCTGTTCCGTTTTTAACGTAATGCAAACTTGAAGTGGCATATACAATAATTTAAGTATTCTGGTCTTGTATTAACTTCTATTTTACATGTAGTGTCCTTTAAACCTTAAGAGGAGGAATTAAAATTGGAAGTGATATATTTTTACTTTAACAATTATTTCTAACAAGGACGGCCTATCATTCTACAAGCATTCATTCTAACATGTCTTTAGACAACCATACTTAAGTCGTAATGTGTGAATGGGAGTTTGAAAAAGCCTTTGTGTTTTGAAACAGATAAGAATTTTAAACCAGTTCTGAGATTGCACAATGATACTTTTTTTTTTTTTGATTTAGTAGAATTTCTAATACAGCTGAAGTTTTTGATGTATTCTTACTTTATTTACTGTAAACAGACTTCATTTGGTAGTTTCTCCTAGTCCCATTGTTACCATTGTGCATACAGTGAAAAAATTATTCTCTGTTTTAAGGGTTTAAAAATTGTTTCTTTCTTAGCAGTGTATTTTATGATACTGGTGGAATGGTTTTTACCATATTGGATCTCAAACTCTTTTGGCATAACTTCCGTAACGTATTAGAATCTTCTGCCAACCATGTATTTAGAAAGAAAATGATAACGTTCTAATGCTTGTTTTTATCTCTTAAAAGCTTTGAAAAGTAAGCTTCCTTCACTTATATCCTATCCCTTTTTACTGTTCAGTATGAAAGGAGGACACATGGTAAGTGCAATGGCAAACAGATTTGGAACTTGTCATATAAGGCTGCTGTATTAGGCTTTCCTGTTTAAAGTTTCATTCTGTATCTTTTTTCTAATTTGTTAAACTTTATTTTCAGTATTACCTCTTTTGAAAAATGTCTTGTGGTCAGCTAAGCCAGTTACTTGGTTTAGTTAGTTGATTTAAAAAAAAAACAACTTTTCTTTGAGTGTTTTCAGTTGCTAAAGCATTCTTTATCATCATGTTGTATATTAAAAAATACACTATTACTGTATAGTGAGCAGCCTAGTGATGCCCAGGCAATTTATCGAGCTAGTTGAGTGATCACTAGTAGGTAAGTTACTTAAAAACTCTTCCATATTGTTTAGGGTTTTCCACCCCGCTTTCTAAAGTTTTGTTAGTTGAAATCTGCTGCTAAAGCTCTCTCTATATCCATTCTAATTCCATGGTAGCTTAATCAGGAAACTTTTGCTGTAGTATTTTGTCAAATTTTATTTTGCATACATGTTTCTTGCTAAAAGAGGAGCTTGCTGATAGAGATTAGAAACAGTATTTTATTTTTCAGCAGCAGAAATATATTTTAAATTAAAACACAGTACTTGTAAATGCTGTTATTATGGTTAGCAAATCATGAATGGCTTATGGAGATATCGTTAATTCTGAATCAGAGCCTTTTCACTAAATAATTCCAGTACCAGGAATTATTTTTAGTTGATGCCACTTATTTAGAGTGAAAAGGGAATGATTTATTTTAGTGTATTGAAATAGTTTTCAAGTCTTTACAAAAAGAGACCAAAATATGTAGAAGTTATAGTCTTAGAGTTTTTATGGAGCTCATATTTATTTCCCTGGTAATACTGCAAAATATTGTAAAGGTGGGTATTTTATGTGATGAAACAGTAGCTAGAATACTGCCTGACAGCTTACAGCTGTTCCTACTGATGGTTTGAAGAGAGTGAGATTTTTTTCTTCTTTCCTCTTTGCTCCCACCCCCACAAGGAAACTTCCCCCTTTTCAAGTGTAACTTGCGTAGGTAAGAAACTGTTGCAGGGTCATCAGTTTTAACTTCTAAAAGCTTACTGCTCTTTTGTGTAAGACTTCATATATGCATAATTCATTTTTTACTCATCTAGTTTTTGCAAACTCTAGAAGATTGGTTTGCTTTCCTTTTATTTTCTTAGAAGCTTCACTGCTCAGGTATGTTGCAAGTACGAGCATAAAGTGGCAGATGCTGAAGCAGTGGAGGTTGTTCCAACAGCAAAGACTAGTGGAGAAACAAAACAAAAAGCTGCTTGAAACAAAAGCTGCAAGGTCATGGAGAACATAGGGATAAAAAACACGTCTTAAAACAGCATTCAAGTTCGTAGCTTCAGCCATGCAAGAAACTTGATTGATGTAATTCGATGCATTTGATATATTTAGTCTAAGAATTTTGTCCTCCTTCGCAGGAGTTCATAAATGAAGCTTCCCTTTTTTTTATTTTTTTCAACTACTTTGAGCCTACAGTGATACATCTTAGGGATGCCCCATAGAAGTATTAGATATTTTTGAGAGAAGAGATGAGATTTCCTTAGTCTTCCATAATACAGCAATAAGATTTTGTTCCTGGGGACTCCCTAATGAATCAAACTGTGTTTTTTCCATCTTCTGATTCCGTTATGCTCCAAAGTCCCAGTTATATAGGAAGTCTGAATTCCCACTGTATGCAGAATTCTTTCTTTGTTCAAAACAAAACTAAGGTAGATTTCCAGTAATAAATTCACTGATAAAAGTTTCCACATGTCTTTTCAATTTTGATCTGTTCCCTACTAATAAATTTATTTTGTCTTGACAGCCTAATGTACTTGGTAAAACTAAGGGTGGTGAAATTTTGTCAGATTATGTGATTATAATCTGTTTCTAAACGAACTGCTATAGAATTAAGCTGCATTATAAAAAAACCTCTTTTATAAAGTTTGTTTGGGAGAGCTGAATTGCCTCTTTTGCAATCCAGCATACATACACTTGTGGAAAAAGAAAGCAGTTCATTTGACGCCTTAAAAATATTATAAGGTGAAAGAAAGTAGCTTGGAGAAAGGCAAATCCTTAGAACTAAGAAAAAAAGCTGACAAGTGATTCCTGCTTTCTTGGCAGTGATTTTACTTCAGTGATCAAG